GGCAAAAGTGTAAAATTATGGAACATGTAAAAAACGGTTTTTTTGTTTTTTTTGCAATAACTTTTTTTGTAAGCGGTGCAGAAAAAATTCCTTCCTTGGTACAAGACTCGACACCATAACGAACCAAATAGCGAAAAAAGTAGAACAATAGCTCTTAAGATAAAAAAACTAGTAGCGTCGCAAAGTTAGCGGACGGACGGACGGACGGACGGACAAAGTGGCCACAATAGCGCATTTTTATTTTATTTTTGTGGAAATGCGCTAAAAAGTTGATTTTGATCTGTTATGCTTTTCGTTTTATTTATTTTTTTCTAAAATTGTGACCGTTATGCATAATTTTCTTAGGAGGTATATAAATAAACGAAATAACGTGCTTCTCAATTGTTGCTGTAGTATGGAATTTATTGCTTCTCCCATTTGGAAGAATTTATTTTTAAAATTCATTGGAGGGCGCTGGAACATTGGGCGCGAGCCCTTCCTTCGCCCCTCAAATGGATAAAATGCATTTAGGTTCGAAATAAATTGAAAACGAGGATTGTATAATATTTTACTACCTTATACTGATAGCAATTGCTATATTACTTGTTCAACAAACTATAGGTAATACAAGTTTGAAATCGCGATAAATTGTGTATTTATTATGGAGGTGTCACCTTCTCAAAAGAGTAGAATGCCTTAAATCTATTTATTGTGGCATTGGTTCTCTTTCTCTCTCCGTTACCATTTAAGTAACAAATTATAAGTGGAGTAGTTATTAATGTACAAAGTAGATTAGCAAGAAAATCATTACGACAATAAATTGGTTTAAGGTACTTTACTCGAAGGGATGAATAAAATTTCACTACCAACCGGTTCAATTAAATACCTACACAATTTATCACCAAAGCAATTAATTCGAAACTTGTAGTGTATAAACCAATTAACATAGAAATTGTTACTAAACACACTTCCAACGTAACGTTAACCTAGCACTCCCAACTGCAACAATTATTAAGAGAATGAAATGAGCCCTTAGCGATCACTCTACTTGTGTGCTAGTGTGTATACAGGGTGTAGAAACGGTTTACGCACCATAGAGATTTCAATGGTAATTTCTTTATGTTGAAATTCTTCCCTAATTATTTTACAGGACAGTTGTAAATAAGTATTTGGAGATTGTAAAATTCGGCGTCTATTGATGTGCCCATTTGTAATTTTTTGTTGTGGGAAACATGACAAATTAAGGAAATTATAAACTTATGACTATAAACCTAATTTTTCTTTCAATAATTTTACGGCACGAGTGATTCTAATAAAAATCACTGGTGCCGTGAAATTATTGAAACAAAAATTTGATTTTTAAATACTAAATTCTAATTTATTTATTTTTTCCGGTTTTCCGAATTAAAAAATTACAAATGAGGATATGAGTGACGCAAAATTGTTCAAACTACAAGAAACCTAGTTACAACTTTGCTCTAACTTAATTAGGGGAGAAAATATTTCAATATAAAGAAATTAGCATTAAAATCCCTATGATGCGTAAACCGTTTCTATGTATACCGTGTTCCTCGAAATCTCAAAAATAAATTTTTTTGACTCTTTTCAGCGATTCTCTATCACGATTACGATTAGTATGGAAATGGTTTGAGATTTTTACGATCTGAGTTGAGTGTATGGTTAATGTTGTTACCCTACAAATGCGTTAATTTTTTTTTACTTTACACGAAAAGGAAAGACCGCGATTCGAGCTTAAAGAAACGTTTGCACGACCGAAGTCTACTACTCTTTTAGAAGACGAGCGCCTTATAAAAGGTGCTTAATTTCTTCCTGACGTTCCGCTTGCCCTTTATGATTACCCTCTTCGGACACTTCGTTTTCAAGATATTCGCTTCGATTTCACCAAAAAATATGTCTCGTACTCTACTTCGACAAACCGGTTTCCCCCCCCCCCCCTCTCGTCTAAGGGGTCGGGAGTCAGAATAGTTATCAATAAATTTAGGATTACTGATGAGGTTTTAAGTTTACTTTTGGTACAATAGAGGGAGCGTGGAGTATCCTTTTTTGTCAAAAAATTGTTTTTCAGATTTAGAACCTTTAGAACTGTGTGGGAGGCTGAGAGTCATTCATGGCTCTAATTAAAATTGTAAAGCTCACATGAGCCCAAAATATGAGGAACAGGGATTAAACTGTTCGCTTATTGTAAATTAAATAGCACAGACTCGACAAGAATTCAACACTTCATTTTTGGATACATCACCCAATGCATACTTTTTCAGAAAATTTTTTATACATACTAGTAGAATGTAAAAACAAAGGAGAATTATAATTGTCTTGATATGTGCCGCGATTAATTACGTCTTTATCTTTGAGATAAAAGAGTACCTACTATAATATTCCTTCTGTAAATCAACCTTGTAAAATGCCCCATCTATTCTCGTATAGTGCAAAGTGGCAATTTATTATTAAGGGTATGTAGCATCGACCACTTTTAAAATGTATGACAGCTGCACCCCTCTTCCAGATTTTCGTGACCAGAACTACGAAATCTCGATGTCCATATCTGTTTCCCTTTTTCTCGGTAAGGTCGTATCGCTATTCTATTCTATCGTTGAGGGAAATTCACTCAACGATTCTATGCAGTTATCAGTAGTAGTATCATGCAGTGAGTTTTCTTGGAAATGATCGTACATTATTCCTATGTTCACTTAAAAAAGCACATAAACTTAATTGGCTAGTATTGTATTTTTCTATTTGTGACTTACCTTTTAATTATTTCATTTGATGTCGAGCACTTTCTAAAGCGATTACTGCTATTACATCAATTTATCAAACACGTAAATCGAATGGATCACAAGAAAATGAAGTGCAAATATTTAATTAAACTTATTTTACATGTGCAGATTTATTCATTTATTATTTAATTGCAGCACTTATACAATATACAGCTCATTATTGAATTAGATTGATCTGTTTTTCTTACGTGAACATAAGTCAACATAATAATATATCCATTTTCTCGGAAATTTGTCCGTTAACTATTTTCGCACGATTAGGGCGTTGTGTGCGGGTGCACCATCCTGTTGAAACCAACAGTTTCAAATGCAGTTTATTTTGTTTTACATGAACGAAACATAAATTCGATTCCCTTAACATGAATTTTAATTGGAATTTGCTTGGATTCCAGAAAAATATGAAAAAGTCTGTATAGACTGGTCATAAACTCGAAGATTTCTTTCTATGGGAATACAAAAATATATACAATTTTGCATAAGTTTTTCGACACCTTTATGATCCGGTTCTGAATTGAATAGGTCTAGTAATAGTTCAAGATTAGTTTTCTGAAAAGGCAACAAAGCTGTCGATCAGAATTTACAATAATGTAACGGAAACGCTCCAGACATGACGTCGCCTTTGGCGCTCTGGAATTTTCTAGGCGCGCGATAGTGGGAATGTTTGCACGTATCTGGTAATTACGCGAATGTTCTGGACTTACATTGCTTGCGTGTATAAATGGTTGCGGACCGAACATCGCAAGCAGTTTACTACCGAACGAGATCGAGTACGTATGAAACATCGAGCGCGGAAATATAAATTGCGAAGTGTGTGATATAAATAGTCGATATAAATTGTACGGTTTTTATAGTGTTTTAGTTTTGTTTAATAAATATTGATATAAATCGAACCCGATTTTATAAATCACGTTACAATAACAATACAATATGCGTAACGAACCTTGTCGTGGTGATCCCTGGTGTTGAGACCTAAGTGTTTTACAACTCACGGGGATGATTCATTACATTGGTATAGAGTGGGCAAGTGATTTCTTAATCCGACGGAATGAATATGATTGACTCTGACTCCAGCTTTTGAAAAGAAGGCATCCTGAGTGATAATCAAAATAAAACATTGAACATGACATTACGAATGCTTCTTTGGTGGAATATAATTGAAACCATGACTGTATTTAATCTTTAGAATTTATTCTTCCGCATATTTTAATGGAATAAAGCGCAACAAATTTACGCGAAAATAACCCTTTCGTTAAGTGGAATATGTTTATTTTTAAGCAACGTTTATTTGATATATTTGTTGACACAACTTTTGGACAGATATTTGGGGCTCAATGACTTAAAATCTCAATTAAGCGTCGCCAGGGTCCACGAAAAGGTCCAAGATTGCAGATTGAAATGCGGGCGCCCCTTTCGCGTCCCCAATACAACTCTGTTACTATATGGTTAACATTTCACAAAGCAGTCGCGCTAGCGCTCCAACACTTCTTCAATGCTCTGCCAGATTAAGAAGGTCTCATTAAAATCATACAAGGTCGGGTTATTTTTAATCAACTCGATAATATACTACATAAACGTATAAAATAGCTCTAAATGTGTAGGTATTGTAAGTAGACTATATTTTTAGCTCATTTTTCAAAAGGAAAATTAACGCTATTGTTTGCACTTTGTCCGTGTGTCCGTCCCCCGTCCCTCCGTCTGTCCATCTGTACCACTACTAGTCTTCCAGTTTAAGCTTGTTCGTTGTGGTTTCTTTCGTAGACGGTGTAGCACAGCCTCGAGACCAGAATGACATGAGATTTTTTGGATTAGTCACTTTCTTCCAGAGTTATTAATGATTCTGTGCGTGGAAAATGCGCTCTCGTCGGTCGCGAGTGGCCACGTCTATACCTGTTGTACTACTTATATCCTTGCTCCGGAACTCTCAGAGCAGTACTTTCCCATAATGCAAAAAATTGTGAAGTTATATGATATTGTACACTTATGTCACGAGCTCCCGGATAATAAATTTGTTAAGATTTTGCGATGTGGAAAAGGTAAAGCAACATCACGGTTACATAAATTTATGCATGTGTAATAAAAATTTAAACGACGCCATGCGTCGTCTGTAGGTATAATGGAGAAAGGTTTACTTTTCATAAATCCACTGACGTATTTGTGCTATATTATGCAAGAAAAGCTTCCATTAAGCACGTATTAACTTCTAATAGGTAATAAAAATATAATTACCGCTTTCTTGAACAAAATAGCTCTATAAAGAGGCACGCATTGATTGCTATTCTCGTTCAAAACTACACTTAAGAAAAATGGCATCTTGTCGACGTCCACTCCAACATAATTTTGATGTACTGTAAGAAAAGAAGTTGTACGAATTTTATATAAGCTTCATAGAAATAGAGGATTATATGGGCAACTTACATTTTCCAAGGAAATATTTGAAGTACCACCTGGTTTGATACTCGGGGTTTTCGAGAACAGGTGTGCTTGGCGAACCGAACATCTGAAATTAAAAACGGTTTTAGAGAGAAATTGAGATTTTGAGCACATATATTTTTATGATAGCGATATTTCAAATTCAAGCAACTGTAAATACACTTATAGCTATAGGTATATGAACTGATATTGATTGTGCTACCTAAAAATTACAAGGTTTTTAAAAATCGCCAATTCACATTTCTAAGCGGAACGTTCGAATATGCTCCAGAAAAAAAAATACTCAGACATGCAAATTTAGACGTCTATTCTATTCTATTGTAAACGTAATGTAATATTTTAGAACTCTCGTCTTTTAGAATTGTATTTACTTTTCTCAATTTATTGACATCTCAAATTGTATTTGTGTAATGCAACAAAATTTATCTAAACACACATAACGCATTTCAACCCTGTCTTACTTGTCAATGCTCAATAAAAATTAATAATTTTGTACTCGTGGTAAATATAAGAAAATAGGTAACATTAATAATAAATTCGCGCAAAGCTATAATGAAACAGCGCGAATTTGCGCTTCGAACGTCACGGGCACATGCAAGACCAATTTGATCCCTTTTAGAGGACAAGATAGCAAAAACTAAGTTTCGAAATTTAGGGTCGCTTTCAGTCAAACGGAAATTACTCACGTTCTCGTTTAGTTTCGACTGCATTCAAATATCAAACACAAAAATTGTGTATTCATACTGCCAATTCCGCTAAAGCCACAGGCCACAGGGATGGCCTAGTTTGATTTACAGGCGCTATAACAATTCGTATTGGCATTCTCAATGAAAAAAATATAACTTTGCGGTGTTGATTTGACCCCATGGGTTCGATAGTGGCGTGTCTTGATCCATAGAAGAAATCTCACCTATATAATTTACTTCGCTGTTATTTCTAAAGCTATCTACAATATTGTACATATTTTCAATGTACTGTTCTGCACATCTTTCTCGGCACCAATTTTTGTGATGTGGTGAAAAAAGGTGAATTGATGAAGTTGGGACCGTGGTGAATCTTTGGATTATACAAAAAGTGGGAGCAGAAGCCACATCTGGTTTTTCCAACGACAGATAGGTATAGTATTCAGGTGATAAGTAGTTCAACATTTTCCGTGAGCATCATACTCATTCAACACCCCCGAGTGACCCAAAACATCAATTGTAGTTTCGCTGTGATAGAAGGCTGACTGGTCATTTGTTTTATAGATGAGTAGAAGAATAGAGGGTCATGTGATTAATGCATTATAGTCTCGACATCATTTTGAGTTAGTGCAAATTGACCCAAATTTTATTTTTTTTAAACAGCTGGAAGATAGAGAGATATGTATCTACAGGATCGCTGATAAGCTTGGAAATGGTTGATTGACAAATTTTCATGGAGAACTTTCATTGCAATTACGCATTTTTGCCTGAATGACAAGTGTTAATATCCTATGAACAGTTTTGCTATAACATTTCTATCAGAGCTGGCCTTGGCATGGCAAAAACAGATGTTTGATTACCATTTTTAGCGCATTTCCACAAAAATAAAAAAAATGCGCTATTGTGGCCACTTTATCGGTCCGTCCGCTCGTCCGTCCGGCCGGCTGTCCGTCCGTCCTGCTGTCCGTCAGTCCGTCCGCTCGTTCGTTGAGACGCTACTAGTTCTTTATCTTAAGAGCTATTGTTCTACTTTTTCGCAATCCTTGCAACCATGGAGACCATAGAAATGATAACCTATAAAGTCATAAATAACCCTTCACACGGAATAATCTTGCTCCACTCGCTCACAGGCTCGCTCGTGTCGCAAACGTAAACTTTCGGAATAATAAGCGGCGTAACATGCTTGTAATACTATCACGGGCGATGTGCGAGAATTTTCAATTCGAATTAACAAAACCCCTGCGCACTGTTAAGTAAGTACCGTATCGACAGTATCCGCGACCTCTCCTGAATCTACCAATTGTAGTCGAGAACGGTACAATCAACACTAGACGCGACACCACTGTCTTTTTGCTACTCGGCAAACCCGACCCATAGCTCATACCCATACAAAACAAGCATTTCCAATGCTAAAAACCAAAAAATCATTTTTTACATGTTCCATAATTTTACACTTTTGCCGTTTATTGACGATCCTAGAGATCGTTTATAATTTTTTATTGCTGTCTGTCGTCTGTCTGTTGGTCTGTCCATCCGTTCCTTTGTCTGTCTGTCCATCTATCTGTCCGTGTGGACAATAACTTTGCTTAGACATGTTCGATCGCTTTGACATCTCCGTTAGTTATGAACTGAATTGCATGAAATTCAATATGGACATAGCTTTAGCCATATAATAAGCAATGCCAAAAGTCGAATTGCAAACTTTTGTATTTATAAAAGTATTTAAATGAAATTTTATACATAGGCACTTGAAACAGAGACTGGCAAGTTTCCGACTTGGAATAAAGGAAAATATAACGTTAGTTTCAAAATTTAGGTTTGCGCATGCGCAGTGCCAACTAGTAGCGTCCCAACGGATGGACGGACGGACAGACGGACGGACGGACGGACAAAGTGGCCACAATAGCTTTTTTTCTTTTTGTGGAAATGCGCTAAAAAGAAAGAAAATTTTCAACAATGGTGTCCCAAAATTTACGACCCTCGATTTATTTCAAAAATGTTTGTCTTGAGTCCTTCACTCGATTTTCTTTGGCACAACTCAAATGTAACTTAGCTTAAATGTTTAAGGTCAATTCTCACATAAGCGACGCGTAGCGGCACGTGCTGCATTTGCTGCTTCTAGAAGTTTGCGTGACTTTAAATATACTTACTACAATTTATTTTCGAGTTTGATAGGTGTCTCATTTCGATCACTTTAAGTTACGACGCGACACAATGGTTAGTATTATTAGTGCTCTAAAGTGACAGGTCATGATTAATGTGATGTCTTCAGGTTTAATTGTACCTTGTGAATTTCAAATTTCTTTCTTATTGATTTTATTCGCTTCTAATGGTAATGCTTTCTTAACTGCGTAGTGCGTACTGCCCCTTTCTTTACCACATCACGAATACTTACTGCCAATAAATTGGTGCCCGTAATTTCGTGTATCGATTTGCAACACTCACAAAATTATGTTTCCGTAATTAATTTAGCAACGTATTTTGTTACAGACCCATTTTTATCATGATTACTACCCGTGTAAGATAGAACAAGCATAAATTGTGCACAACTCTTGTGCAGATAAAGCGCATTTTTTAAAAACCGAAATAGCTTAGTAAATGGTTGGGTTATATTAAGGTACCAGCATGCTATCGATGTTTACTTTCTTGGAAGATGATTAATGGCGAGGAGGCTCTTTACACATAAACATTTAAAAGCCGCCTGGCATACATTCAAAATTCCTCCAACAATCCGTTCTGGATATATAAGGGTATATAACCAATCACGATACGGGGACGACAAGGAGGACTATGGTTGGTAGAAATTAATTTCTCTCGTTGAGACCTTTCATTAGAGTACCATGAAGGTTAAAATCAGCCCCCCCCCCCCTCCAACCCCGTTTTATGATGGCCGTCGGGCACACCTTTAAGGTATAGGCTACCTAGTGCAAAAAATTCCAGGTCTCTAAGACCATTCCCCTAAAAGTAGTTCAAAACGGCAGAAATGGGTCCGGACGGACGGACAAAACGCAAACAATTGCACATTTTTTTTCTTAAAAAAAGGTAAAAGCTGCATATTTTAGATCGTTTTACATAGAATCCAGTGGCGTAGTAAAAAATGTCGGTTTCTGAGATTTAACCCAAAGTTCGTAGGTATTTTTTAGATGAAACACTCTGTATATTTTAACATCCATTTTTGGCATTTTTGGCATTATTTTCCTAATTACATTGCTGTCTTATAACTTAGATATATCTTTTTATATGTATAATAACATATTATATCTATAGATTTTTCAAAATATTGAAATGACATGTTTCTACCATCAGCCATTTTTATTGATTGGTATCCCGATTGGTATCAGCTGCCTTAATTACCATGGATTCAATAAAACAAAGTAAGGCATGGGTGTTGCATTTAAAAACACCAACATTGTGTCAAATCCCTGGTCAAATCTAAGAAATTGTGGTCCAAAAATTTTTTTACTATGCCACTGGTTTTTACGTGAAAATATCTAAAATAGGTAGTTTTTACCTTTTTTCTATCTTACATGTGTCTGTAGTAAGATACGATAACATCCAAAAACGTCAAATTTGTCGTTTTCAACCTGTATCTCAGAAAAAAAGTAGCTAAATTGAATCTAAAGTAAGCTTTTCAACATCCCGTGGCGCATAACGGCATTCATCAACTAATTTTTTGTCATTAACCGTATAGTTTTTGTAGATCGGTATTTACCTACTATCTCTCACCTCATCTTTTTCCCCTGGTGAATCGCCATTTTCAATTCGAAACCGTCTCCCATAATCTTGCCCGTTTAGTTCAGGCTGTTGCAACTGTAACAAATAAGAAAAAACACCTATTAAAAATTATACCATCAAGTCGTAATAACTAATAAGTAATAATTATGTATCAAGGGCATTGAGGCGATATTTATGCCAAGGGCTACCAGAGCCTGAGGGCTTCTGACCTGAGCGATTGTAAGTCGCCCGAGGGTTCAATATTGAGTAATGCTTGAGGTGCACACAAAGTTTTATTTTTCATAACTCCAAATAATGTATTTCCAATATACAATAGTTATTTATATAACAAGAGCGCGAAGTTCAATTTCGCGCATTGAGACTGAAGGTATTTTGACGAGGCGAAGCCGAGTTAAAATATCAGTCAAATGCGCGAAATAACTTCGCGCTAGCGTTATATACAATATTTTTTCTACAACTGAACCGATTGTTAATTAAATTTGCTGTTTAAGTTCAACTTTGTCACGTGCGCGAAATACATTTTTCACTGTTGACGATTTCGCGCACGTTGTCAAGAGTAACCTTACTTATTAACTAACCGTTTAAGAATCTAGTACTGCGCGTTTCGATATTCGTCAGAAAATGACAGGTTTTTTTGACAGTTGTAGAAAAAATTATTGTTTGCATAACATTATTAAAGTGCTTCATACGAATCAAGTAGCATCTTTTTTAGTACATAAATAACTCTTAACTCAGTATATTTGACAGGTCGTTTGAGGGCATAATGAGATGACAATCCATTTATATGCCCTCTCATTATGCCCTCGGAGGTCATTGGCTGCTTTATATATTTCATATGACAGATATAATTGGCATATCATAGGTAAACGAAGAATAAAGTATTAAATAGCTGGTTAATATTCACTTTTGGTATCAGAAATAATTAAGGAGATCACTCGCGCAATCGGTCTAATTTCAAAATCAATGACGAACTCGTTTTGGATTAGAGATACAGTCATTAGCCACATTTATACCGTAAAATCACTTAGACATTGCATTGGCTATTTCACATTAATACTACCTATAATTATAAGCGATTATGTTTAGGTACATTTAATTGGATATTAGTATATTACGAAGCTCTGGATAGGACACATAGGAAATTATTTTGTAAATTACAGTTGTAACTGGGAATTAGTATATAATTTACAGTTGTAAGTGGGAATTATACTAATTTACAGTTGTAACTGGGAATTATGCTAATTTACAGTTGTAACTGGGAATTAAACTAATTTACCGTTGTAACTGTCAAGGATAATTCTCAGTTACAACTGTAAATTAGTATAATTCCCAGTAATTTACAAAATAATTTCCTATGTGCCCTATCCAGAGCTTCGTCGGATATACAATTTTTGCGTGTTGATACGTGGGTTATGACTATTATTTTCACTTACTTCAAATTTAACAGTTCATAATATTTATGTAGAAGTAGGTATCAACAATGCAGTTATCTCAATTAGAAATTCCGATCAAATTTCCGAACTGGTTTCAATCAATATGATCAATGTAAAAGCAATTTACGGACAAGACCAAAGTGATAAATTATGCTGCAACCGCCACTTTAATAAAATATATAATATAAATATAAATATCACTTGAGTACCTTATACCTAAATCATAACGATAACTCACTTTTTCATACGAGATCTTGTACAACTTACCCCACTTTTTCGGGCATCTTCAGTTTCATATATTTGATAAATCGTGGGACTATTTTAATTTTATTTCCTCACTCGAAAAGTTAGAAAAGGTACACATGGCGGTGCCCTTAGGGGGTTGGTCATTCCAAATTTTTGGCGATGTATATTTTACGGGTCATTGGTTTTCGGAGGCGTCATAACCAGTTAATCGCCTGGGAAAGTTAACAGCGACGGGCTGTTTCAATGTTTTTTACGTGACCAACGCAGCTAAAGTAGGTTTACTCATGATGAGATCATAAGAGCCTAGAGAGCTAGGTTGCACCTTTTAAAACAGCCGTGCGTTTTGATTGATGGTCAACACGCGCGCGTGATTAGTTGGGGCAGGCTAATGCCCGAACAGTTATTAGCGCCACTTTGTGGGCGAATTTTTGAAAAAATTGCAAACGTAGGGGCGCGTTGTGAAGAGATAGCGCATTCGGTTTCTGGGGCACCAGAACGTGAGGCGTGGTTTTTAGATTACAGTTTCTTTCGGCCGTCAAGGGTGAAACCGTCAGTTGGAAAACTACGGTTATTTTTGAGAAAGTTGAAGTAAAAGAACCTGCAACTAAAAGTTAGCGCAACAACATCGTAAGAAGATAAATAATTGTGTGAAAAAAGTAGGTAAGATTGGTTGCAAATCTTAAGGAGAATATGACGTGTATATTTTAAAATTGAACATAGGAGTTTTATATGGTGGGGATCTCTATGTTCAGAGTTATATTTACGCACTGTATAGTGTATATGCAATAATTTCATTTTAAATTTCGATTTCAGGTGTTAAAGAATGGGTTAAATTGCTTAAGATTAGAATTTATGTTAGGGCTAGCCGTTGGTCAAAAAATAATATTTTTTAGGAGAAATTCACCTATTGTATTGTAACAACCTGTTACAAATACTAGAGAATTGATCGGCAAAACTAATGTGATTTATCAATTTACGTCTTTATTTAAATCAATAACCCAACACCGTAAATTAATAAACTAAATAATCTATTTTGAAACAAAAAAAAACTTTGTAATTGTTTGGTATCGATGTACAAAATAAGAATCGTAGACACATTTTGCTTTAGATGATTGTGCACAGAACTTCATGCGTGCTGGTGACGAAAACTGCACTGCACGGTGAGATCTTTTACGTATAATAAACTAGTAATTTCCTATTTTATTTTAACTAAAATGTGAAACTGCACCGTCGTTTTTCCGTAGTCGCTTGTTAATTTCATTTGGTGTTTAAATTATTGCATTTCACCGATGTATTTACTTACGGGATACAATGGTCAGCGTAATTTGATTTGACTTCAATTTAAGCGTACCATAATGTTTACTGGTGTCGTATATGAAAACGGTAACTTGTAACAGTTTAGTTTATTTATATTCAAATTTCAAAATTACCGCTTGCTACGTTAGGCAGGATATAGGTGAGATGGCGTCACTTGTACGCGTGCTTCTTTCCTCGCGCAGAATCGCGTCATTTTTTTCACTTCATTTCCGTTTTAAAGCCAACGAGGTTGTACTTGTAGAGCGTGGCATTGTGAATTCTTCTAAAACCAGTGGGTAATATTTGCCATCATTCACGTAAAATCTCTGGCAATTTTACCTGTTTATTGGCGTTTTCGAGTAGAGTAACTCAGAAGCCGTTTTCTCCGTTGTGAGGCTATATCTGGTGGAAGTTCATCGCCCTACCTACATGTAAGTGAAATGGCGTTGACTTTCTTTTACGTTATGTTATCTAAAATTCTTTCAGATTCACAACCTCTTGGATAATTTCCATATTTCATTGATTTAAGTATTTTTCATTACCCTCCTGACGATTTCAGGTATGTTATTAAAAATCTCGTTAAGGGAGTTTTACATCTTCATTACTTTTAGGGGGTCCAGGTAGTAGACGAATTCTTGTACCGGTCAATCCATGTAGTAGACGAATTCTTGTACCGGTCAATCCATGTAGTAGGTCAATCCTTGTACAGACGAATCCTTGTAGGTAAATGAATTTGCATCTTGCGAATATTCCGGAGTACGAACACCTGTTGATTGCCGGCAGCTATCCGGCGTACCACCGAGTAGATAAGCGCTAACACCTAAACGATACCGGGAGCGACCAGCTGATGGTGGAATTTTCGGAAGATACGATCTTTTACACAACCTTTTTTTTTTATTTGCTTCAATACCGTTAATCTAGTGTAACCTTCCGACGATTTATGATTGGAGCTTTGTATTTTGTTCGCATCTAGTGTTTTGAGGTCGTGGCTCTCTTCAAGAGCAACGCACCTGTATTTAACGTATGGGTAAACGAGCCGGCTACGAGTAAGCTATTTTTGGCCCTTCTGGCTCATATAATCGTTCCGAGCGTTGTAGCTTGGGGTTTGTTTTTGTGTTACAGAACTGGAACTTCGAAGGAGAGCTCTTTTTCGGAGGAGACAGCGTATGTGTTAT